AAAAAAAAAAAAAAAAAAAAGACAACTCTCCACAAAAGCAACTACTGTGTGGTGCCTCCCCTCCTGGGAGCTGACAGACACCCAGCATCCTGGAAGTCACTCTGGCTGCCTGCACATGTGTGAGGCTGCCACACGCACACCCCACCCAACTTCCCCTACAGACCCCTGGGTGCCTGGGCCAGCTCCAAGGCACCTGTCTCCTGAAACAGCTGCAGGCCCAGGCTGGAGCTGCCGAATGCCTGGGCTCCTTGCTGGCCCTCCCCATCCTGAGGGAGCAGATCCTGGTACCAGTTTCTCTTCCCAGAAGCGTGTCTCCAAAATAAGCAGATGTAACTTTTCTGAGACACAAAAGCAGGACTCTTCCTACCTGGCAGAGCCACCTTTGTCCCACCTGAGATGGTGGCATTAGGGAGAGGAGGCACTGCCTGGGATGCGGTTTGGGAGCTCCTGATGCAAACATTTTAACCAGGACACCTATGCCCCCACCTATAACACATTCTGCCTGCTGCTCCTCGGGGAGGCTACAGTCCCTCTGGGCAAGGGGTTGGCCCACAAAGAAGCTAGGACCTCCAGTTCCACACTCGGGACCAGATTGGAGCTGTGTTGCGGGTGGACGGGTCCCAGGGTCCGGGCGCCGAACGGCTGCAACTCTCCGGTTACCGCCACGGGGCCGGGTTTCAGTGGCTCCCCTGAGGCTATTTCGGGAGAGCTGGCACCTCGGCCACGCGTTGCAGGGCCCGCAGGGTCCAGTCGGCTCGCTGAGACCCGCCGCCCGCCGCCCCGCCCGCGGCCCAGCCTCTCACCTGCCACCGGCGATGGCTTGCGCAGCACCAGCCACCTACTCTTCCACTGCGGAGATAGGACAGCGTGAGAGGCCGCCCGGGCGCGCCCGCCCCGAGCCCCCGCCCCCACCTGCCCCGCGCCCCCGCGGCGCCCCAACCTTCTTGCCGTCCCGCAGCTTGACCTGGCCCTCCACCAGCGCTGCCTCGGTCATCTTCTGTCATGGTTCCCGCCGCCCGCCGCGCCCTCTCCACGCGCCCCGGGCGCCCGAGCCCAGGGTCACTTTCAAAATAGCTCCCGGGAGGGCCCTGGACTGCGCCAGGAGGGCGGACCCGGCGCGGAGGGCGGGGCGCAGTGACACCGGGACCTGGATGCAGGGGAGACTGGGCGGGGCGCCCCGGGGCCGCGGTCTTTTAGACCCTAGCAAACTGCAAGCCAGTAGGTGGCAGTGGGCTTGGGTGGCCTCTGCACCCAGCTGGCTGCCAAGCTGCACTGCTCCTGCCAGGCCTCAGGACCACTACCTAAGACCCTGAAACTCAGCGTTGGGGGAGAAACTGGGACAGGGGCAGTTTCTCAAAGGGATCGAAGCTGTCCCAAGACGACCCCACAGAAGGCTTTGTGCTCAGTCCCGATTTTGGTTTTTAGTTTGGCTTCAATGGCTTCATCCTTTGCACCTGCCCTTCCCCCACCTCATGGAGCCACAAGTCACCCTTGACGACAGACCAACCTAGAACAGTTCAGGCCCAGGGCATTCCCAGCTTCTAGGCCTTTCCTACCCGGAGAGGTGGCCATCTTCCAGGCACACAGAGGAGATAGCAGAGCAGATGTCTGCGCAGGTGGCTGTCAGGACCGGGACCCACTGTGCCACCTCATTGCCCCAGGTCTCCCTAGCTGGTTTCTCCCACTTCTGAGAACCAGCTTGCACCAGCCTTGGAGCATGGAGGACCTTAAGGGGCTGTGCTGCATGGCAACTGCCTTGCCTGACAACCCCCTGCCTAGCCAACCGGCCTCAGCCTCTGGATTTCTCTTCTGAGCCTGATGCTCAACTAGGGTCACTCAAGGCCTGTCCTGAGCTTTCTATGGTCACCCCAGATTACTATGGAACCTAAGTGCTTTGTGAGACCTATGTCACAGACTCCCCAGAGAAGACCCATGACTTAGGAAGACACCAGGAGACAGAGAACGCCCACAGTTGGGAACCAACTGCATCCAGCAAAATAAACTCAGACAAGCAATGAAGCCCTGTGTGTTTGCCCATCCTGATCCTCAACCCTAAGGAGTTCTGGTCCAGGTAGGAAGGGGCTAGGGGCAAAGCTGTATTCCACTCTTGCAGTGTGCACAGACTCCTCCGGCTGCTTCCTATCTGTTCCAGACAGAGAAACTGAAGGTCAGAGTGGTGTGAGAACTCATGGCCAGGGCTGACCCACACGCGCCGACCCTAGAGGAATATTCAGCCTGGGTGCCCTTGCCATAGGGCTGGAGGACAAACCTTAGGGGACCGTGGGGCTGATCTTAATGTCTTCCTGATACCTTGCTGAGGAGTGGGTACCGGGTCGAGGAAGGAGCTCTGTATGTTCCTCACCCTGCTTCCCACTGGTGATGCAGCGCACTGGTGCTTTCCCCTGACCAGTTGCTGGCCACAGAGCCCCATTCATACTCCCCACACATCGAAGGTCCCTGGGGACTGGCTTAGGACAGCCGGTGTGGAGTCAGTTGGGGGTTGTAGCCATGACCACATCCTCTAGCCCAGGCGCCTGGCACTTGCTCTTCCCTTCAGGGAGGGGCCACGTCCTGCTGCATTCCAAGCGCTGGCCTTGGCCCAAACTCCAGCCACGCCTGGCAGCTGCACCTGCTCCCCGCACTGGCCCCGGAAATGCGGGCGCCCTGGGGATAGACAGCTTCCTTCTCCCACTCCACATGGCCTAGAGGACAGCGCTGTGGTCACCAGGGCTGCCGAAAGGTAGGAAGAGCTATCTGCCCAGTAAAGGAGGCTGGTCTGGCTAAGAACCCTTGTGATCTTGGCCCTCTTTGTGCCTCAGTTCCCCCAGAGGTGACAACCAGAGTTGCTGGGCTCTACACGATAAAACAATGTCTGGCCACTAAAGCAGCTGCCCTGAAGGATGTCAAGCCTCCTGAAGAATCAAGGTGACAGCTGGAAGGAGTGGGATGGCAGGAAGGCACAGTCACATGTGAGACAGGATGCCACTAGGCCCCACACCCCTACCTAGCACCACTGGACACTGGACACCCCAGGACTTTAAGGAAGCTCGCAGCTGTGTTTACAGCTGCACCCCTGTCTGTGCTCACAGCCACAGAGCTGCTGTTAGACACTGCGGTCAGCTAGACGGCCACTGCCATACCCATGACCGCAGGATGCAGCTGTCCCTTCGGTGGCTCTGCAGCCACACACCTCTGTGAGGTGCTGAACTTGCCACTTACCAGGCAAGAGCATGGGTACCATCGTGTGGCCTCAGCTTCCTGCTGCAGCCTGGCTTGGTTACCATCGCCAGGGGTGACTGCACAGCAAGAGGCTCTCCAATGGTCAGTTTGCACACTCAGGGGAGGGTGGGACCAGGGGGTCTCCCTGACTCGGCGTCTCTAGGTGACTAGAAATGCTGGACAGACACACTCCAGCAGGCTGTGGCAGGTACCAAGCTCCATGTCCACTGATTCACATCCCCATCATCCCTTCCACGGGGTAAAACAGTACGGGTCGCTCTAAGCAGGGGAGTGGGTATAAGCGACTGCCCCTTCTGAGCTCAGCCATTAGATGCATTACGCCACCATGCAAACATGTGTCACTAGTCACATGATGAGAGAAAGGGTATTAGGTACTGGATAGCCCCTCAAGCTCCCCAGCCATTTGCTGAAGTTCTTACCCCCATGTGACCTAGCAAATATGGAGCCTCTTAGAGGTATTTATGGTAAATGAGGTCATATACGAAGGCCCTAATCGGATAGGACAGGTGTCCTTATAAAATGACAAAGAGATCCCAAAGAGTGCTCTCTCCTCTGCACACAGGAAAAGCCACAGAAGGACCCAGCAAGAAAGGCAGCTGTCTATAAGCTGGAAGGGCCTGGTGACTGAACTTCCAGCCTCTTAAAATAAGGAAATAGATTTATTTAGTATGCTGCAAAGAAAGCAGGCATGGCAGTAACAGAAGAGCTGCCTGCTTAAATGCCTGTTCTTTTCTGTGCTGTTTGACCCGGGCAACTGCTTTCAGTTAGACCTGAATGGCTCCCAAGTCCCTATGTCAAAGGCTTGGTCCCAGCTCCTATTGCTATTGGAAGCAGTGGAACCTTTATGAGGAGGAGCCTGAGAAAGGGCAAGGTAGGGCACACCGTGAAGGCACCAGTAGGACCCCAGGTTCTTCCTCTTTCTCTTTTGTGTCTTAGCCTCCAAGTGTGAGCATTGCTTTGCTGTGTACATCTCTACAGGCACATGAGGACAACTGTGGGGCAAAAGCTCCAACACAGTGAGCCTGAGAACCTTTCTGGATAAGCTCATTAGTTCAGACTGCCATTGAGTACCAGCAACGGAGGCAACGAATACCACAGGGGCAGAGTAAGAAAGTGGTTGTGCAGGATTTGAAATGTGTCCCCTGGGATCACCCTTTGGAAACTTAATACTCAAATTCCTAAGTTAAAAGTGTTTGGGGGTGAGGTTGGGGGGAATTGGTGTGACCACGGGAGTGGGACCCCTTGATGGCATCAGTGGCTTGACAAGAAAAGGAAGAGCTCTATCTTACCCTGTGATGCCCCATGCCACATTCCACTGCAGCAGAATGCCTCAGCAGATGCCAAAGCCACAGTCTCGGACGTGAAGCCTCCAGAACTGTGAGCCAAATGAACTTTTTCATAAATTACCCAGGCTCAGGTGTTCAGTCATAGAACACAAAACCATCCAAGACACCTGCAAAAAAAAAAAAAAAATTCCTTCCCTACACCTACCCCCCTTTAAAATGTGGCCGCGCACCCCCTCACACTAAGAGATGGACGTATTCTCCACCCTCTAAACCTGGCTGACTTTGGTTAAAGAAAGGCAAATCACTGCTCACGTCCACTTTTCCTTTTGTAGCGTTGCCTCTGTCATGCCAACAAGCCCAAGCGAGCCTGGTGGGTGGTGAGATTCCTGTGGTCCTACTTACCACCCTGGGCTCCAGCCAACAGCTATCCATTCCTGAAGTATAAAAACCTACGACTCTCTGACAGCTCCATAGCCTACACTACCAAGACCCCAGTTAAGCACAGAAAAAAACTACCCTGCAGAACTTAGGTCAACCCTAAGCATTGTGAACGAAATAAGGGATTGTTGTTTCGTGTCACTGAGGTCTGAGTTTACTTGTGGTACAGAAGAAGCTTTCTGAAATAACCAGTATCAGGGGAGCCCACCAAGACCTGGGAATCTCTGGGATCACTGGAGAGACTGAAACCCGAATCCCTGAATCAGCATGGGAACCCTAGGGGAACATGAGCCTAGAACACAGAAACAGGATGCAACTATCTCACCTTCATATGTATGCCCACAGCATCAGACTGAGCTCAGGCAGCACAGAAAGCATCGGGGTAAGGGAGAGCCTAAAACACAGTAACAGTTACAGCAGGTTTCTCAATGGGAGCAATAGAAGGCAGGGGCCCGTGGTGTAGCTTCCAAATGATGACCGAGAGTAACTTCAGAGTCCGGGAGTAACAAATGCAGTTTGGTGGTAAAAGAATCCCATTGCCATCACCAAATGGGTCCATCAAAGTCCATGTATTTGAACCTAATCTTCAAACTCCCATATTTCTGGAGGTAGAAGGTAACGGAGGCTAAATGAGGTCACAAGGATAGAGCCCTTTAGTGGCATTAGTGGCCTACAAGAAGAGGAGAGGCCTGAGCCAGCAGCTTGCTCTCTCACCGTGAATGTCCTATTCCGTGTTATAATGCTGCACAAGGCCTTGGCAGATGCCAGCACCACAGCCTTGAACTTCTAGCCTAGTCTTTATAATTTAGCTGATGTCATCATCAGCCTCAGCTGTAAACTTGACACGAGCCTCGAGTCAGCTTGGGAAGAGGAATCCTCAACCGAAGAATTGTCCAGGTCAGACTACCTTGTGACCACATCTGTGAGCATTTTCACAATTTACTAATTGCTATGGGAAGGGCCCTTCCCGCAGTGGGCAGTGTCAACCCGAGGCAGATGGGCCTGGGCTGCATGAGAAAGTTGGCTGAGCAAGCAAATGGTACAAGCTAGTAAGCAGCATTCCTCCATGGCTTATGCTACATTCTCCTGCCTAGAGATTCTACACTGGGTTATCTCAACCCAGTGTTGATGGACTGGGCAACATGTAAAATGAAATAAATCCATTCCTTCCCTAGTTGGTCAATGTCTTATCATAGCCCAGAAAGCAACTAGGACAGTTTGCCTCAATGCTCAGTTATAGCAACAGAAAACAAACTGAAACAGCCACGTACAACTCCGTGGTAATACAAGTGAGATCCAGATAAATTCACTGCTGGTTTATTCAGCCCTGAGTTGATGTAGGATTTATCTTCACTGTTAACTGGATTTGGAATCACCTAGGAGATACACCTCTGGCCATGACTGTGAGTCCATTTCCAGAGAAATTTAACTGAGGAAGGAAGACCACTGCAATGACTATTCTTGGTTGTTGACTTGATTACATCTGGAATTAACTGGACTCCAAAAATAGAGGGCACACCTCCATGGGATTATTTTTCGCTTGGTTTGAAGTGGGTGGATCTAATTCTAGTCTGGGTGTTGAGGTGAAAGACACGTGACTTTGATCTGGATCTTGAGGCAGGAAGATACACCTTTAATCTGGGCCACGCCTTCTGCTGGAAGCCTATATAAAGACATGGAAGATGGAAGCTTTTGCTCTTTGCCTGCTTGCTCTGTCCTTGCTAGCACATCCATTCTTTCACTGGCTTTAGAGTCTACTTCATTGGAATTCCAGTGTGCACTAAAGAGTATCTGAGACATCCAGCTTTGTGGAAGTAAGCAACTACTGAATTCTTAGATTTTCACACCAGCCTTGTCTGGATCACACCAGCCAGATTTCTAGTTGCAGTTCTAAATTCTTGGGACTGGGTTTTGAGGGCCTGGTAGAGCTGGGTTCCTTTTGACCAGAAAGAACACAATGGGAGAGGGCCCTGCTGGGCCAATCCCCTCAGATTCTCACAGAATGTCATGAGAGTGGGATGAGGGGACGATGGTCATCCACAGAGAACCTCCCAGTACTTCAGGTAGCAGTGGAAGGGCTCACGGTGAGTGAGCACCTGAGGACTTCTTGGTGGGTTGGGGCAAAAACATCACCCAGAACTGAAAAGACTCTAGGTGGGGTGTGGCGAGACCCTACTACCACAGGAAGAACAGACCACAGTGGGCAAAGCTGTAGAGAGAAGGCAAGGAGAACCTCAGGTCAACCAAGAAGGACAGGCATGGGGAAACTTGATCCCAGCTTGAGACTGAACAAGGTGCCATCTGCTGCACCTCCTCAGGCCAGAGGATCAGGAACCATGGACGCTCCTTGGCCTCTATCTCCTAGTCTGAGTATGCTAACTTTGGGCATCCATAGAGATGACTGACCTTTGCCCCATCCTAACTTTTCTCCCTTATCTGTCCCCAACTTGCTTTGCAGCACCTCTGTGCCCTTCCTCAATGGCGATAAATGTTCATGCCAGAGACTTTGGAGACTCTTGAGACATACCTAGCTCCTCCCATGCCTCACAGGCTCAGGAAGTCTATCTCCTACTTCCCCACCACAATGCTCATTGTCTCTGGAGCCATCTTATCCTCTCTAAAATAAGCTAGCCCCATGTCCTGCTTGGATGGAGGCAAGCCTGGCTTCTGGGTGTTTAGGACCAACAGTAGCCAACATAACCCGGATATGGTCCGTTATCCTCAGGTCTCCTCCAGGGCTGTCCCAGGTGATGGGGAACTATGGCCAGGCTGTCATCTTGAAGCTCTCTTCTTCAGCACTGCTCGGCACAGGTCCTTTTTCACAGCCTGAGGAACTGGAGTTGGCTTTAGTGTCTTGCCCTGATATGTTTAGGGTACATGGAGCCTGGCCACATCCTGTGTGGGATAGGGCCTAGAGGAGTCTGACTTTGACATCCCATCTGGCCCCCTGAGGCCATCTTTGTGAGGTGGGAGACTCCCACCCCCACTCAGGAGCTACAGTGGCTTCAGGCCCCACCCCTGAAGCCACATCGTCTATGCCAAAGGCCCAGGGCATAGTTTGGGGAGCCTGGATGCAAAGAGCTGCCTACCTGGAGACAGAGCCACTGTGAAGCCAAATCCTTGGGAACATTTTTATTGTTGGTAGTAGAAAGGGAATTATGAGCAGCCCCTCCTGGTGGGGTAGGGGGTGCGGTTCAGGAGGCAGCTGCGGGTCTCTTGGGTGGTCGTACACGGTCATTGATCCAGCCCACATAATTGGACACACGGGTGTAGACTCCTGGCTTGTTGAGCCGCCCACAACCGTCACCCCAGCTGATGATGCCATACAGGTAAGCCACACCATTCTTCTCACAGACCAATGGCCCGCCAGAATCCCCCTGGAACAGAGACTCCGCTCAGCCACCCACACACCAGCAGCCAGGGGCCTGACCCAGAAGCACCTGGGCTTCCAGCTCTGCCAATGTCCTGAAGTAATAAGCCAACAAGAGTCTCCTGTGCTCTCTGAGGACAGAAGATTTTTAGGGCTGACTGCCTGGGGACAGGGGCAGGCATTTCTGAGAAATGTGGCCTCACTTCCTGACCCCAATCAGTCAGGAAGGCATCTTATTCCCAAAAGTTTTTGCAACTCCACAACCTACAGCTCTGGTCCTACTCCATGAGGAACACACGGACACCTTTGGTCCCAGCATGCTAGTGGCACTGCCTGAAATGCCTTCCCATGGCCTGTCATACTTCTCTGTATCTCTTAGAACAAGTGCAACAGCCCGTTTCCCCCAGGATGCCCTCCCTGATTGATCCAGAATCCACTCTACCTGTGTCACCTTAGAAAAGGGACTTAACCTGTCTGAGGCTGTTTGCTCACCTGTTTAAAGGGCATATATCAGCCCCTCCATGTTGAAGCAGGCTGACACATAACCACGGCCAACGCCTGGCCTATGAAGCCCTTGATAAGGATTAGTGATTGATTAATTGGTTGGTTGGTTGGTTGGTTGATGGATTGATTGGTTGATTGATTGCTGAGTACACAAGAGAAATCTGCACAGAAAACGGTAGCCTTTGAGGTCTGATGTAAGTGGCCTTAACTGTTGCCGGGACAGCAGGGCTTTATCTGGGCTCTGTGTGATGCTGAGTGTGGTTTTTGTTTTTTTTTTTTTTTGTTTTTGTTTTTTTTTTTTTTTTTATTTAGTCTCTCATATGTTTAGACTTCTACGGCAAGAAAGGCCTCCAGGACATGCCAAGTGGTCCACAGTGGGTAAACCTTCTGTCTTAGACTCCCTCTTAGTCCTAAAGCTCAGTAGGGGCCAGCAAATCCTGGGAAGACCCCATCTGTATGGTCCCAATGGGGACCTGCCGGTGGCATACCTGGCAGGCATCGGACTTGCAATCGAAGTAGCCGGCACAGAGCATGTTGGGGCTGATGTCGGCACCATACACCTCAAGGCTGCTACACTTGTGGTCGGCAACAAGGGGGACCAACGCCTCCCGCAGGGAGCTGGAATAGCCACTCACATCTGCGGAGCACCACACTTTCAGGGCCGCCAGGATCATCACCTTGTCCCCTGCCAGGGCGGCACCGGGGACTGCTTCCCACTCACCCTCGTCCATGTGGCCCCATCCTGCAATCTGACACTTGTGTCCAGTGGGGAAGGAGATGCCCGTCTCAGGCAGGCAGATGGGCTGGACAAACTGGGAGCGGACGGCACAGCGGTCCCCCTTCTTCTTCAGCCGGATCAAGACTGGGCAGGGGAGAAGCCATGGCTCAGCCTGGGCAGTGAAGCCCACACTAGCCAGAAACACATGGCAGGCAGTCCCAGAAAACGGGGAGAGGGGAGGTGGTTGGCGGCCCGAGAGAGCAAAGAGGAAGGGCAACAAGATTCCTCCAGCTCCTCTGGCTCCTACCCTTGTCCAGGCTCTGGTTTGGGGTACACAAACCACACCCCCACCTTGCCAAGGCTCCGAGCTCACCAAGGTCATGGTTGCTGGGGTTGAACACCGAGTACAGGGTGTAGGGCACATACTTCTCAATGCCAAACGTCTGTGTCACATCCGTTGTGCGGTTGAAGAAGTGCTGTCCCAGCACCACTGTGACGCTGTCCCTGGGGGGACTGCACAGGAAGCCGGCAGGAGTGGGGACCCAGCCCTCTCCTTGGCACTATCAGATCTCTCAACCTTAGCCCCTGGTCCTGGCCAAGCAAGAGGGTCACAGACCTGGGAAAGGCCTGCACAGACGTTTTTAACCCGTGTGACAGCAGGGTTGAGAACAACAGGCATGGCAGGGTCACAGTGACCCTGGCCCAGGAGCCCTGTCTTCATGGACAACTTCATTCATAAGCCAGTGGAACCTCAGGTGAGGTCTGCTCTGAGAATGGGCCACATGGGTGGAGATTTGATCTGCCTAGAGGCCCTGGCCCAGCCTGGCCTGGGCTGTAGGGTCCTCGGGTATAATTGCTAACCCTAGGACAGCAGGGACTGCTGAGATTTTTCTATGTACTCTAGTTAGCTTTGGTGGGTGGGGACACGAGTGGACCTCAGGCCCTCATTCCTAGGAGCCGATTCATCATCTGGATCTCAGTTTCCCTAGCTGTGCAGTGACCCTGGCAATTTTACATGCTGTAATGAGTCCCCTGATTCCTTGCCCAGGTGAGTGCCCCTCAAACACCTAGACACAGTCACAGGGTAGTGCAAGGGACATGTTGACAACTCTGTCACCTTATGTCCATCCACTGCTCTGTCCTGAGAGGGTCAGGGTCATTGCAGATTCCGGGACAGCCCTAACCCTGCTGCATAGGTACAAGGCAGCTGCAAGACATGCGCTGCCTCGATGCTCCATGACTAATTACCCCAATGCCCAGCACAAGCATCAGGCCACAGTGGCACCAAAGGTATGTTAGGGGAACAGGAGAAATGGTCAATGGAGCGAGGGATGGAAGTGTGCTGGCACTGGGAAGGAGTATATGCCACAGGTACGGGCCCATGGGAGAGAGAAAGAGGGTAGGGATTTGGCGTGTGGGTGGCCCCTGAGGAAGGGTAGATGCAGGCAAAAGGAGGGAAGGGATGGAGGGCTGGCCCTGGGGATTCAGCCAGTGTGCTCACCTGTTGGAGAAGCAGTGGGCTGCAGACACTACCCAGCAAGTGTGGACAAGGCTCCCAGCACAGAAGCTATTCCCAATGTAGATGGCGGCCAGCCAGGGGTGTGAGCCAGGCAAAGATGATGAGCCGCCAACAATGCGTGGTCTCAAGAAGGTCCTCTTCTTGTGCCTCTTGCCGCAGGTCGGACGGGCAGTCACGGCCGCCTCAGACACGGCCGCCTCAGACACGGCCGCCTCAGACACGGCCGCCTCAGACACGGCCACCAGTACCTCCGGGGTTTGGGCATGGACGCTGACCAGGGATTCTGGGAGTGGAGGTCATCAGTTCATACCCCTGGGTTCCCCTGGAGACAGGGAAGAGCCAGAGGGGTCCTACCTGGACCCATCGCCCAATTCCTCAGGCCCGAGGCTCTGAGCAGTTACCCTGGGAGCCTCTGTTCCTTACTCTACAGAAGGGCAGAGTATAATGCAGGCCACAGGCCTTGGCAAGACCAGCCCACTTGGTACAGAGTCATACCTGTCTCTCCTGCAGTCTGGACCCCACTACACACCCAAGATGGCCAGATATTCCCAGCATGAGAGCCTTGGGGCACAGGCCTCTGGGAGCTGACCACCCGGGAACCACTACAGGGAACCAAGGAGTCCTGTCCACTGACCTCCTGTCTGAGGGTCCTCAAGGAGCACCACCCCTACTCTGCCCCCAACCTCTCAGGGTGCCCGCACCACAGGCTGCCAGGCGGCAGTACTCCCACGACAGCGCATTGTCCTTCACCACATAGCACCAAGGCTTCTCGTCTCTGTCCGGGTTCCTGGAGGCAGACAATGGAATCACACTCCCACTCTCCCTAACACCCAGCTGGGCGGGCACCCACACCCACACCACAGCTATGTGCTTTTTCTGCGGACCCTGGCAGGCACACTTGATCCCATCTTCCCAAGAGGCAGAGGCTAACGGCCATCTTGGCAATGTTGGCCCCTGCTGAGTCTGGGGAGTTACTCTGTCCAATCCTTTGCCCACGCAGAATGGGGCCTAGTGGCTATTAGATGCTGACCGGCAGTAAGCATGAGGGCCCAAGCCAAGCAGTGCAGCAGCGCCCACTGAATCCACATGCAGCTCTTGGTAGAGCAAGTCAGAGTTCCAGGCCAGGCAGCTCAGGCCTGAAGCAGCGGTGCTGGCTACACCTCGGTACTCTGTACCATTTCCCAGGAAACAGCGCTCGGTGGGAACTGTGGACACAATGGGTGCCGTGAGGCCAGGCCACAGCAAGCCCTCCCATGCGTGACACAGTTCCGCAGGGTTGCCCCACACACCTGGAAAGAAACCAGCTTACCAATGTTGCAGAACCGCCCAGCATAGCCCAACGGGCAGGCACAGACACTGGTCCCCGTGCCCACGATCAGGTGGCAGGTCCCTCCATTCAGACATGGGCTGCTCAGGCAAGCTAGGGGAGAACCCAGAAGCTAAACCTGGCCTCCAGGAACTCAAGGAAGGGACAGAGCTGAGATGTTTCCCTGAGCCCTCGTTGCTGGGTAACCTTATACTCCAGTGAGGAAGGGGCAGATGCTTGAGGGACATGGCTCAGTACCCCCATGCACCATGGTACGTGGCCTCCCTGAAGCTAGCCGTGACATACCTGTGTGATGGGTGTCTTCACACCGGGCCTGGCCCTCGATACAGTCGCACTGCTCCGCGTGTCCCTCACTCACACGGGCCCAGTGGTCGCCCACCTCAAAATACTCGTAACGTGTTTCATCAAAGCATTTCTCTGTGAGTCACACAGTGCTCCCACAGCACCCGTGCAAGTCCTCCCCCAGGCAGGCACCACCCACCCCAGCCTGGACCCAGCAGCTGCTCTCCCAGCCTCCTGGAATGGCTCCACTCCTGGGCCCCCAAGGTCCCCTCACCTGTGCCACAGTCCTTGCCTGTGAAAGCCGGAGGGCAAGTGCAGTGGTAGGACACAGGGTCGTGGGTGCTGGAGCATGTGCCCCCGTTGAGGCAGGGTCCGGAGGCACAAGGATCAAGGACAACTGGGTACATGCAGGAGGAGACATAATGGGTGGTGGCAGGTCCTGGGGTCCCTCCATACCATCCCTTGCCTGCCGAGGGCCTCTGGTGAATGCTCACACTGTCCCCGCCTGGGTGCTGGGTGAGCAAGTTCCCACCTCTCAGTGACCCCCACTACCCGGCATCTGAGAAGGTACTCCACGGCTCTCCGCTCCACACTCTACACATCTATACATGCTCTGCCAGGCAACGGGGTTTCCTCCCATGTACCCTGGGATGGCACACCCACGGGTTTCATGGTTTGCTCTTTTGGACTCATGGCTCTCTGCCTGTTCAAGGGACCGTGTATGGCTACAGGGATAGACCTCACCACAAGAGGGCGCCTTGGTATCACCAATGGCCACCAAAGCCATCCAGGGTCTAGACACACACAGGGATCCTGTCTGGGCTCTCTGAGCTGACAGCTCTTTCGTCCCTTGATACCTCCAGGCTTAGTAGGATCAAACTCGTAGAACAGCCCCAACTCCATGCAGAATCCCCTGCCCCAGGTCACCATTATGCCCACCCTGCACTTTTACCCCTCTGCTCCCATCCTAAGCACCCTGTCAAAGCCCTTCTTGGGGGCTCAGGCTGGCCCCTCCACATACCCACCTGGGCCTTCCACAGGCAGGGTGGCCTCTGCGCAGTAGCCCCAGGCCCGGTCCCGGTCATAGTTGTGTGTTGTAGCACACCTGAGGGGCGTGTCTGAGGATGACATGGAGCCCCTGCCCAAAGCCCCACTCATCCCTGCCTGGGTACCCTGGAGCGCTTGTTCACGAGAGCCACCCCCTAGGCTTTGAGACCTAGCTGCAGGGTCCATCAGGGTCCACAATGGGAACTTGGGTGGGGCCCTCAGCCCCTGCCCCACTCTGGGACTCACCACTTCCTGTAGGCATTTCCCTCAGAGGTACAGGAGTGCAGCATGCGGCCACCATAGCGGAACGGGAACCTGCATGGCTGCCCAGACTCAGTGAGCACTGTGGAGGGGTGGAAGTGGCAGGGGTCAGGTGTTCCCACCCCTACCGCAGACCCCACTCCTCTTTAGCAGCCGTCCAGTGGCAGTGTCTGACCTACCTTGGGCGCCAGGGGGGCTGCTGCTGCTGGAAATAGGAAGGTACCTCTCACCTTGGGGTCCCTCTGCCTCTGCCTCTGCCTCTGGAGCACTTGCTATTGAGGCATTGAAGTTCCCAGAGGTCACAGGGATTGTGGGAGTCATGGGGGTGGCTGTGACATTAGGTTCTGGGGCTTCTGTGTGGTTCTAGGAGCCCAAAGGACCACGATGGTGTTAGCATAGAATAGTCTCTCACACTTGGACTCCACCAATCAAATATGTCACAGATCTTAGGCTCCTTAGGGCTCTCCCCAAGACCTCCTCTGGCTTTTCCTTCCATGTCTGAGTGGTTCAATACACTAGCTTAGAGTCACAGGCCCCCAAGACACCCTGGTATTGAGATTCAACCCTGGAGTCAGTTCTAGGGTTGACAGGAACAGATGGAAGCGCTCAGAGTTCTCCCATATCCCATCTCAAACACTGAAATGCAACAGAAGGTTCAGGGACCCCACACTCACGGGGCCTGGACTACACAGGGGGCAACAGGGAATCCCAATAAACTCAGGCCCCTGGCACTCCAGACCAGCCTAGCCCGGCACCTCGCCTCTCTGTGAAGAACAACTTCCACCCCACTAAGCCACTGCACTGGGCCCCTAGCTCATGCCTCACCCCTTCTCTGGAGCCTTCTCTCTCTCTGGGGCTCCTTCTCTGGGCACCTCTTCTCTGGGTTCTCTTCCCGGAAACCCTGAGTGTTCATGGGGAGCCCTCAACCACACTGTGAGGGAGAGGGTCAGTGCTCACCCTGCCAGCCTGGGGCTGGGCCCCCCGAGGTACCACCAGCAGCAGCAGGAGCAGCAGGAGCAGCAGGAAGGGACATGGCTTGGGTAAGGAACAGTGACTAGGGGCCCAGGCCTGGTGCCCCATGGCTCCTCCGGAGCTGGTGTGAAGGGCAGCAGGTACAGAATAGCCAGGGAACATGGCCAGGGCAGGTGGGGTCAAGGCTACAGGACAATTATTAACCCTGCCTCCCACATGCATCCTATCAGGACCCTCCCACACTATGGCCCCACCCTGCTGCCCCACCTCGGCCTGCCCTGCTGGGCAGTTGTTGTACTCTAGCAAAGGCTACACTGCTCCTGGGCCCAACACCACCCTCAAGTCTCAGCCTCCTCCAGGAAGTCTTCCAGGGTGACTTGGGCAGGTCATGGCCAGGCCTCTTGGGCACAGTTGCCTGGCCACACTGCTGGTCATTCCTGTCTCTGAGCTCTTTATAGGACCTGCTACATGCAGGGTCCTGTGGGCCCCAGTTCTTCCCAGCCTGCCACTGACTCATGGTACTGTCCCCAATCCACAAACGTCAACACAGGGTAGAGGGTGCCTCCTCCATCCAGTGCTACATAACAGCTAAAGAGAGGAGTGGGCTGCTCCCTGGGCCAAGTGCTATGACAAATGACCTCAGAACAGTAACTCTTTGTCTGCTTGTCCCAAGTCAGGGGTACCCAGGGGCCCCATAAATGCATCCTTACCAGACAACCTGGGCCTCTCCCCCAATAAGCTTTTCCAGCCCATTACTTGTGGGCATAGCCTGCCTGCCTTGAGCTGGGCTGGCTTTACTGAGCATCCCTTGAGCCCCACAGCCCTGTGGCCCGAGTCAGGCACTGGGGGGCCTAGGCAAGCTGTGGCCACCTCACACCCATTGCTCTAACTGTCTCAGGCTCTCCTCCAATTCCTGAGCAGACAGACACCAAGTAGCACCCAAGTTTGCTAAAATAGGTGCTTAGAGGCATGGTGGGCCATGATGGGTACTGAGGACATGATGGTTCTGGGCAGAGATACTGGGGCCCAGTAGTGCCTGAGCATGGTGGGTGCTGGGAAATGGTGGTGCTGGGGTGTGTACATGATGTGGTGCCTAGGACAGTAGGTGGTTCTGGGGCCCATATCTCTGAGGATGGGAGGAGAGGTTGACCTTCAGCTCCCAAGTACCAAGCGACCTTCTCCTAGCAGCTACCCTTAACGTCACGGCCAGGCACCACTTCTCCCCCGAGCTTCTTTCTTCCTAGGGCCATCTCCAAGAGTAAGGGCTCCCCAGGAGGCAGCACGCAACACCAGTACTCAGCACAATGCAATACATGGCAGGTCTTCAGAAACATTTTATTGGGCAAAGTCTGAACGTCAAGGTGGGCTGTTGTGGGGGTCTATATTTCTAGCCCCTGTGATAAGGTTGGCCCTTCGATTCCTAGTTTGGCTCCTGAGGGCATTGTGGCTGGGGTGGCTCTTGGCTCTTCCCAGGCCCCTGCTGTCTCGAAGAGTCATGAGCTTCCCCTCAAACATCCATATGAACACGGAAGACAGTACAGGCTGGCGCAGTAGGAATTGCATGGTCAGGAGGACAGCTTCAAACAAAGGTGGCATGGTGTGCGCTGGCCTTGGGCTTGGTAGGCTCACCTGGGATGGGGCTCAAGCCAGGACCATTTGATAAAAAAGGTCCATCGGCCTTCACCCTCCTGGGACCCAGCTGCACCCCTAGGACGCTGCCTCCCCACCCAGGAGACACACCCGCAACGAGGTCCACGTCGATGATCCTGTTGACTGGGAGGCTTCCTCGGCCTCGGGCCCTGCCCCCTGTCACAGGGAGAAGAGAAGCCGTCACCTGCTTGGCTCAGCCCTGGGCTTCCTAAACCCACCCCAACATCCCTTCCCAGGCACCAAATCCACTCCAGACAAGGTGATCTCCAGCCATGGGCCCTGGACCTGGGCAGGAGGGCTGAGAAGGTCAGCGGGCACTCAACTGTCCGCACCTTCAGGGCAGCCATCATGCCTATCTAACAGGAGCCTCCACGGATGATTCTCTTAATTGGCCACCTCATGATAAGTGGGTCTGATAGCAGGCAGTGCCGCACAGTCCCAGCTGGGAGGGTCATGAACCACAGGCTGTTCTGACATGATGAGTAAGGGACCCAGGGCTCTGAGAATTGGAGAGCCCCGTGCAGTCCTTGACCCTTGACTTGTAGACCTATACTGAACGGACTCCAGGCCAGAGCTGGAAGTCAGGAGGGATGGGTTCATCCAGTGTGGAGCTGGAGTGGCCAGGAGGGCTCAGGACAACCCTTTGGGGTTGATGTCCCCTGGGAGTGCAGTAGGTCTCCCAGAACACAGGGAGAGGAAGCTGTCTCTGAGACTCTCTTCTTGGGCTTTTCCTTGCTCCAAGTGAAACCCACAAACAAAGAGCCAGGGCACTTGCTTGGATTCCTAGCTGCCTTGTTCTGATTGTTCACCTTCACCCCTAGCCAATATCTACCCTCAGTTTCTCTTGGGTACTGTCTGCATCCTTCAAGCCTTGGACACCCTAGGATCCTCCCATAACAGGGCCCCAGCTCAGCTCCGGCTCCCCTTACCCTTTCTTTTCTAGTGTTAGGGTCATCTTCACCCACACAAACTCCTCTGGGTCTGTAGTGACCCTTGACTTCCATATCAGCAACACCTACAGCCACCTGCTCCCGTCACTAACCTGTTGCCTTCACTGTCAACTCTCCCTCCCTTGCTGAAGCCCTTCTGTGCACTCCTCACCATCTCTCTCTGGTCTGAACATCTCCCTCATCTCCCCAGATGCCCAAAGCTGCCTGGGAAGTGTCTAGATCTCAAGATGGGTTTAGAAATCTTCACTCCAGGACTGCCTTGACCTATCCGACTGGCTGTGCACCGGATCTCGCACTAGCCTTGCAGAGATCTACCTATCCACTTCGGGTGTACTGTGGGTATCCCCATAGCCCAGTCACAGCCTGCAGGGATTTGTGAATGTCTCCATTTAGGACAGGTTTCAGTTCCCTGCACGGCACTATCCTGAGCACCTGGCCAGGGGCAGTGTCGCCAGGGTTACGGCTCCAAGAGAGCCCTTGAGCACCCCACTTTCCTTCTATACACTGAGATCAGGGGGATGGGATGCATGTTCTGCAGAAATGGATCCTCACTTCTCCACCTCTGGGAGCCCACGGGCAGAGCCTGGGGCCTTTCCTGCCAAAGCCCACAATGAATAGAGCAGAGTGATGGTCTCATCCCAACATTCCATTCCTAAAACCCAGAACATGGGAGTATATTCTACTAACTACCTACAGATGCAGTTCCTCCAACTGTAACAGGGAAAGCTTGCCATTAAAGGGGAAGATTTTGCTCCCTCTGCAGTCCCAAGTCCCCTAACAGACACAAGGATTAGAGGTCCATGATGGCCCAGCTTCTCTGTAGATCCATGGGCCCCCTTTACTCTTAGTATCCCACCTTACCCTTGGCCCAGGCTTCCAGAAGTGGCTTCCATGAGGCCTCATGTAGCAAGTTCAGGCTTGTACACAGGTGTACAATATCTCTGCTGAGATTCCCCAGCTTATCATTTGACAAGTTCTGGGGACACCTGAAGAGGCTCCTGGGCCTCAGCTGGTATCAGTAACAGGGAACCCAGTGTGGTTAAGACTGGGACTCTCTCCCAGTTTGCTCTATGGTCAATCAGCAAGCATTTTGCTAGGGCCTGCTGGGATCCAGTCTTGCCCTTAATTATCCTGCTTGACATCAGGCCTCCAAATGGCTCCAAATGACAGGCTACACAGCAGCAAGATGGGGTTATGTGTGAAGAGATCAGTCCTCAACCACTGAACACCACTGGGAATATTGATGTCGAGTGCCATTGAGTCCTGAAAGAACCAGTGATTCCACAAAGGTACAGGAGACCTGCTGTCCCCTCCAACCCCGAATGAGCACTCAGGAAGAGACTCCAACCTCTAGCAGCCCTGTCTATTCTGGGAACCAAGGAAATACACCTCACAAGCAGAAGCACCCTTATACTTCCTGCCTGCCCAGCCCAGACTTGCTCTGAAAATGTGGCAAGTCCCAGCCAGTGACTCAGGAAGCAACCATGTCAGGACCAGCCTACCTCCAAGGCTTCACAGAGCTCTCTGGGCTGGGAACAATGCATGGGACCCCACTGGTTTTCAGGAGCCACTGGGCAGGGCCAGTCTGGGACAGCAAAGTCAACACCACACCTCCTGGTGCCGGTTCCCTCAGGCTGAGGACTCTCAAGCACTCAGGCAAGACATGTCACATCTCTTTTCCTTCCCCCTTGGCCACCCACTGGCCTTTCTTCCTGGCACACTGGCCCTTGGCTAACCTGTGCTATTGGTCCCCTGACAGGGTCTTTGCCAGAACCCCAGAGACTGGGAACTACCTCAGCTCCTCTTGGGAGCTGGAAGCTTTCCAGTCAGCACTGGTGGCAGCTGTCATCCCCAAGCCTCATTTACCTGTAAACGTTCTCTGTGCCAGCTGCTGCTGCCTGCTCTAGGCTGGGCATGCCTACCCCCAAGGCCATCCTTAAGGGTCCATGCCTCACAGCTAAGCAGGGTGGGGCTCAGCCCCTAAGGTCAGCCCTCTCTTAGGGTCCAGCCCTAGTTGTTTGTCCCTCTTCCCATGTTTCCACAGGGCAGGGATTCTGCCCTGAGCTATGTTCCCACTCTTAGTCCTAATGCCTTCTTCCAAGGCCCCCAGATTCTCCTAGAAGAAAGGGAACACAAGACCTAGGCACAGCTGAGCTGTGAATGCAGGAAAACCTGAAAGGAAACAGCAAAAGAGGACCAGAGGCCAAGGCTCCATCATGGCCACAGGAACTCCCACAGGTTCCCATAGGGGCCTGCCAACTCCTGGCTCCTCATGGGAGAGAATTACTTAGCCTTGCTTCTGGCTCATGACCCTGGTCACCACTTGCCTTCACAAAGATCTTAGCTCAGGATCAGGGCTCTGACTGGGCTGGACTAGATTACAGTTCCTTATTCTACAAAGACTTCCTGGGTTTGGGCTCACGATTGCCTGGAGCTGGGATGGACATTGGTACAGAACACATTGGTGGACAGGAAATAGGGGAATCCAGAGGATGGCACCTAGCAAGGCTGGCATGCTGGGGTAGAAATCAGCGGGGCTAGGAACAGCCCGTGCTGGATGGGATGGAGTGGGGCAGATCAGGATAAGGGGACAGAAGTGAGCTCAGCTGGGGGATGAGGCCATTTTAACTCAGGAGTCTGGAGTAGTACAACAGGTACAGGATCTTGGGGCGTCAACAGGGACCTGAGATCTATTTGATACTAGCCATTGGACAAGGCCTGCTACCAGATGTGCTATGAACTGGCCCTGGCTGATAAGCTTCCTTGGTAACATGTCAAACTTGAGAATGTCAGGCTCTGGAGTGATGAGTTCTGGGCTGTCTCTGTGCCTCATGAGGGCTGGGCTTCCGGGGTACAATTTCCTTGAAGATGTGAGAGGTGTTCCGGGGGCCCTGGGGGTGGAATTGGATGGCACTTGCCAAGGAGGAAATGTCTCCTATAGACAGTCTGGATGGAACTTCAGTCCGGCGAGGCTGTGCACCCTCACTCCAAGCTCAGGAAGTGTGACACCATGCAGGGATGAGGAAGCACCCAGGCCGGGGTGAGCAGATATGCCTGACAGACTGGCTCTGACCACAGGGCAGCAGTCACGATATCTTTACCTCCAGGGTGAGGAACTGTCACAAGTCTGTCCCAAGCCTCAGCCACCTCTGGAAGAGTAGGCAGGTAGGTGAAGAGCTGCGGCGGGGAAGTGAGCTGGCAGCCCTTAGGAGAACAGGTGGGACAGTGGCACCAAATCTAGCCATGGTGAAGAGCCCAGTCCCTGGGGAGAGAACCAGACCACCCCTCCCAGGCTCCACACTACTGTCAGCTATGTGCTGAGTTGGGGATGAGGCTCTTGCCATGGTCAGAGCCGGAGACTGCTCTGTGGTTCTCACCTCAAACCCCATCACCACAAGCTTACTTCTGCAAAGCTTCTTTCCGCCTCGAAACAAAGTGTCTTCAGGGCAGAACTCCACACCCTCCCAGGATGTGGAGCAATGTACAGCATAGGACCCAAGCTCCTGACCCACACTGCCACCCCATCCAGAGGCCCTCTTCAGGCCCCCAGCATGTTGGCAGGCCATCAAATAGACAATACTAGAACGGTGACCAAGAATGACTGTCGAAACAACTCACACAACTGTGAAGGACAATCTCCAGTCTTGTCCACAGAAACTTCCTACTTGGGAAGCCCCACTCCAGGTCCCTGTACCCTTTGCAATGCTTTTGCAAAATAAAAAAGAGCACCCCACTAAGAGGGCTGAGAAGGAAGTTCTCCCAGGCTGGTGACACACATCTGCTTTTCCCTATCAAGAAGGAAGTTGGATATTTTGGAGTTTCCTATATCAAGACACAAATATACATGAAAGAATTGCATAGGGGCACTTACACACACACCCACACACACCCACACACACACCCCTACCAAAGTGTCAGAAATGTCAGTGGTCACATTTCACTGGATCACGAGGCTGAGGTGGCCAATATATCCCTAAAAACTACCTCACATTAGAGTAGCTGGGTGGATGCGTGGCTTTCAAACCCTGAAAACTGTAAGTGGCAGTCAGTTGGCCCACTCTGCTCAGAGACCCAGAAAGAACCCTAATGTGGGTACCTGAGGGTATAGGAGGCGCCTACAGGCAGCTTTCTCCAGCACTTCAAGCAGCCTCATTCAGCAAGGCACTCTCCCACATAGAGAAGCCCTGTGGTAGCTGGCTCAGAGAAACAGACTGGGGTATTTGGAAAGCAAGCTCAGCAGTGAAATCACAGGTATGGCCTTCTCCCCCATGCCGGGGCTACTGCCTCCAGAAGATGGAAAGTTATTAGCACCTATAGCCCTCTAATGATGCTAGCGATGGGCTGATGGGAGCCAAAACTAGTGTGCTGCAGCCAACGCACCCCTGTCCTTCTCCCATTGTCATCTCTTCCAGGACAAAGCCCAAGGGCTCCACATCCCTATCTCCCTGGGCACCAGAGACTCGCTTTCTTCAAGTCTAGTACCACCTCTGTTTTTCCCCATCCAGGGCACACCAGAAAAGGCCAGCTGGCCAGGCACCATACTGGGTGCCACTCTCCATGTGCCCGTGGCTTTCCACAGCAGTGACTCATACTCTAGCTATGGCACCAACATCTGAGCTGGCAGCCAGTGTGAGCAGAAAGAGGCTCTACAGCCACCCCAGAGAGGGAAAACAGGGCTTGAGGAACCAGGCCCAAGACCTCTCTGCTCTACTCACCTCTTCTGTGGTGGAAATACCCAGGCAATGACAGAAGGAGGCAGCCATGGAGACCACAGGCCTGAGGTGGGGAAGATCCTGCCACAAGGCAGGATTGGCAGGGGACAATTGTATTCCCATTTTCAAACCTGTTCTCTCCTGTCACAAAGTTGTGTGTGGCGGGCATGTGAGAGGACTTTGTGAACTGAATGGTCTCTTGAAAACCAGTGTATATGGGGCTGGAGAGATGGTCCAGTGGTTAAGCTGCTGCTCTTGCAGAGGAGCTGGGCTCGGTTTCCAGCATCCACACAGCAGCTCACAGCCATCTCTAACTCCAGTTCCAGGGGATCTGATACCCTCTTCTGGCCTCTGGGGGCACCTGACACATGTGTAGAGCACATACAAATATGCAGGCAAAACATACATAGACACACAATTTTTTTAAAAAAAAATTAATCATTTTAAAAAAGCCTGTTTAAGGTAAACTACTTAATTTCTTCAAAATGGTCAAGATGTAGAAAGGAATACATCCAAACTTTAATCCTAAAGAGAAAACCCACTCTCAAATGAGAAAGAAAGGAGTTTTCAGCCAGTACAGTGATGAGCTCTAGAGTTTATTACTCTCAGAAGAACAGAGTCAGAACACAGGCAGAACTGTAAACAGGCAGCTACAACGGAGCAGAAAGGAGAGGTGTGGCAGGACAGAGGTGCCCAAGCATGCACACAGGGCCACTTTATGGCACCTCATGCTTCCTCATCGGGTGTATCTCCAGTGGGTGGGGCTGTGGAGCGCAGCATGAGGTGTACCCTCCTGAGTGCCCAGATGTGTGAGGGTACATGAAACATGCATCAAGACTTGAAAAGAGCCGGCCTGGGAAGCAGGGCCCAGACGGGCACCCACGCAACCTGCTGCAGATCACAGCCAAGGCGTGAGACAGGAACGAGAGGAAACATGCACTTCAAGGCTCATCACTGTCGTTGTGGGGACACTGAGCACGGCCAGTGGCTGGCAGAATCCTTACCACTCGGGCACCCTGTCCCCACCCACACACACTGGACTCCATGCTTCCACTAAGAGAAATGCCTGGACACATTTGAGGCCAGCCAGGGGACAGCAGAGGCAGCAGGAACTGCCTAGTACAAGTGCACAGCTGGCCTGTGGGAACAGTCAGTAAGACCTGGCTGGCCACAGAGAGGCTGACAATGAGAACCCTGGTTCTTGTCAGCATTGTCTCTTGCTCATTTGCTTAAGACAAATACTTTCTTCCATCCTGAGGCTAAAACACTAAAATGGCAGCAAGCAAGTCTTAAAAGTAAGATCCACACCCAGAGACCTGAGCCTGTACAAGGTGTCACTGGAAGAGGGCTACCATTCCCACGGCACCTTCACAGGAACAGCTCAACATGTCGGATCTGCCTGAGCCTCAGTGACCTTCCCTGGGAGACTGAGCCTTGGCTGCCACCTGCTTTCCTTTCAGAAAAGGCAACGGAGGCCCCATAAATACAAGAGAAGGAGGCCATCCCTCAGGATGTTCAATACGCTGAAGTTAAGCAGGGGCTGCCTGCCTCGGTGTTCCCTTTATTAAACATGGAGGGGTGCAGGCTGTGGGCAGGAGGCAGGACAGGTCAAGGGCGTAGAGTCAGAACCTGGAGGTACCTGGTCTTGTAGGTCCCGGTGTGTCTTGGGGTATGGGGGGTGGCGGTAGCAGCGTGCTGTTGGGGCTGCTGATGTCCCCCTCCCCCATCAGGGTCAGGTCAGCCACCTGCTCATCCTCCACAGTCTGGATACCCCCAGCCTCCACTTCTGGTGATAGCCTCCTCCAGGCCTGTGCAGTATCCTCCTGCATGGTGGGGATACAGGAGGGCTTTGCAGGCTTCTCTCCGTGTTGGGTAGTCCCAGGAGGCCCAGGTGTGCTGTAGGCCAAACTGGGGCTGTGTGCGGAGCCAGGGCTATGAGCAGAGCCGGGGCTGTGGGCCGAGCCGGGGCTGTGGGCTGAGCTGGCGCTGTGGGCTGAGCTGGCGCTGTGGGCTGAGGCAGGGCTGGTTGCTGGGCTGTCACTGTAGCTCTCAGTCTGAGCTGCTCCCTCCTGGCCGTGGCCTGCCATAGCTCTCTTGATAAAGCCCTTGACTGGGGCTGGGCCGGACAGGGCGAGTTCTGAGGAACCAGAAGGTAAGCGAAGAAACTCCGGCAGCACCAGGTCTTCTTTCCTTAGCAGCCCACGCTGGTCATCGGCTCTGTTGCTCTGAGCTTTGGAAATAAGCTCAAAAAACTCTATTGGAAGAAAAGCCACAGTGACCATATCTGAGAGACTCACAGATGCATACGTGCCTCAGCTGACTGCTCACTCTTACCAGGGGCTTTTGCTGCCTTGAGCTGCCATCAGCAGCCAACAGGGGTAGGAGGTCAACCACACTACTTTAACCACAGAGCTGAGGCCAATGTCTGGCTGCCAGTCCCCCCAGAAATCACACTGTCAGGCCTGAGCCTGAAAACACCCCTCCCTTAGCAGGTGATCAGCTTGCTAGTAGGATGCTTCTAGTACTCTGGCATGCATTTTGCTCGTACATGGAGCTCTTTAGACCTGAGCACAGCTAAATTTGAGGTGTAGGTGGGGGTCGAAGTAGGGCACGACAGAGCCAGGGCCCAGCTGCACTGCAGACCCCCAGTGGATGGCTGAGAGAAAGCCTTAGCTGGAGGGAACAGAGGGCCCTGAGATCCACATGGCTCCCAAGTTCATTGTCCCACGCACAAGTGGCACTCTGGGGCTGAGGGGAAGGAGACACCTCATGCCACCCTGACCCACCTGAAGCATCCCAGGCCTTGGGCCAGAATGGGTACTTTGGGCTCAGCACCTGCCTGGTTTCTTCACTGCCTGCTCCAGAGCCTTTTCTTGCCACCATGCTGTGTTTCGTGTGACTTAAGTTCATCATTCACACCACAGGGGTCTGAAATTTCTCTAGTATCTTAATGGCTGTTTGTGACCCACAAGGAGTCCAACATCTTCCACCTCAGTGGTCCTCAGAAATGCCCACACTCAAAGTGTATGTGTTTCTTATCTGCTTAGTGGTCAGAAAGCCCAAGGAGACACTTCACGGCTCTACTCTGAAAAGGTTCCAGAGTAAAGGACATAGCCCACCCCTGCGGCCTCCACGTCCCAAGGGCTTCCTACAGAAATCCTGTGTCAGGACAGATCAGGCCTGCCTCCAGCCTCCATGGTCAACACAGGTCAGCAAACCCACAGCCCTCTCAGGCCTAGGACTTTGCCCTCCTCCCCCACATCTGACTCCTGCCCCCACCCAAGCTGGGCCCCAGCTCATGTCAGGGTCTGGGGTGTGGGGGAAGGGATGGCTGAAAGCATAGCCAGGGCTGCTGGTCTCTGGTGGGACCTTTGGCTTTCAGCTCATAACAGGGGATTTAGTGAATCTACACTAATAGCCCCAGTGTGACAAGGACCAGGCTACAGACAGGGCAGAGCAAGTTTAAGGACCGGACTGTGCATTTACTGGAAAACACGGAAGTTTTAAAAAGTACACATACCCTCTGCTTCGTCCAAATTAATTTTCTGATATTTTTTTTTCCCAATCTTTGCAATAGATTCTTCTCTCTTTGAAAGCCGGGGATCCCTAGCACTTTTTCCATTTTCTCCTCTTATTTTAATAGAGTTAGACTTGCCTAGTGTTCTCTCCTCTCCCTGCATCAGAAGGAAAGTCAAGTTCTACTGCATGTCAGCACACGGTAACATATAACTCATCAGTACAGTAAAGGCCCTGGGGGCCCAGGCATCGACAGCGAGTCTAGACACACTTCGAAAGTCAATCCCGATAATGGAGTAACACAACAGCATTTATGGCCCGCCCACCCACCCAGCACAAAAGAAGGCCAAAGGCTGGTAGCTCATAGCAAAGTGGAGGCTGAACCCCCAAGGGACATGGAGAGAAATACCCACAGGGGGAGGTGCCCAATCCTGAGCAGAGCCTTAGCCAGCAAAATGGGCGACAGCAGGCACAAGGAGCCCCAAGAGGTGGAGGCTGAGGGAGAGGGCCAGAACGGCGTGGGACAGGAGTAAGGGGAATTACCATAGCCGAGTGGTTTCTGGGGCTGGAGTTCACAGCTGAGCTCTGTTTGACAGGAGCACCTTTCTGTTTGTCTGTGGACACTAAACACATGAAACAAGCTATGACCAGAAGCTCACAGTGCCCTCTGAACAATAAACACAATTCTGTGTGTGCTATGAGAGCAAAAGTCCTCTCCATCCTTTAGCTAACACGCGCACACAGGCTAGTCTCCCCTCAGCCCACCTGCTGCAGCTGGGAGAGGGGCAGCGGGGCACGAAGGGAGGTCTGTATATTTCCTGGGACACTGGGAGGCTGATACTGAAAAACTCAAGCCACACACCACGTGTCACACATGTTCCTTTAGAACCTGGCCTTTGCCCCTGTCAGGGTGCTACCGGCTTCTGTGGCATCGTGCCTGAAGACCATTGTCTGGCTGACTAGAGTACTAGTTCCCAGCACCCTGTGAGTCTGAAGCTCCCGAGAGCTCACTTGCACACAGACACCCCCCCCCCCCCCCGCCTTGCAAGCCCTGGAGGAAAAGCTGTTGACGGGCAGAGCTGGCTGGCTGTCCTGTGGAAGCTGTGCAGACAGTGCTCAGCTCACCAAACAGCACCAGGGCCAGGCTGTAGCATTTTCTAGGGTGGAGGATGACCAATGAAGGGAAAGGTTCCTCTGTAAGGAGATGGAAAGAGATAGGAACTGGAGTAGCTGTAGCCCAGGCCACAGCTACTATTTGCTAAGCCCTGGGGGATCCACTTGCTGAGAGTGCGCAGAAGTCTTTTGGGCACAGGCCCTGTGGGGAACCTAAAGTTACCTGGAAAGCTTCACACAAGGGACCTCCAGACAGATCATTCCTCCTCAACAGCTTCTAGAAAGTTCTCCCACACCTGGATAAGTACTATGGGATATCAGAGGAAGTGCCTCTCCCATGGGTTCCCTGTGCTAGCGCCCTCAATAGTATTGGTCACTGAGGCTTTGGATGTATGGGGGCCCAGGTGAAGCTCTGCCCAGGACTGACCCAGGTCAGGACCTTGGCTGTTGAGGTACTGGGTGGGACGGACTTGTGTGGTCCACTCAGCCCCACATATGAGGAATAAAATGGCAGGCTGCTGGTGAGCCCAGTGCCAGTACCTGCTGGACAAGACCATGCCCACCACTGTCTTCACTGCTTGTTTCACCTGGAGGGACAAATCTCAGAGGAGGGAGCTATATTAAAGATAGGAGACCCAGACAGGCTGCTAAGTCCTTGGGTCCCTGCTTTGTATCAGCAAAAGCCTCTAAAGAATAGAATACCTTCTAGCACTTTCTGCCACATGAACATCCTGAAGTGGCAGCCAAGGACTGCCACTCTTTCTCCAGCCGAGAGGAGCCAGGGCTCTCCTGCCCCAATCCTGCTGCCCCTTCCTGGGCTGGGCACAGGAGGGGTAAACTGCCATGTGAGGGGTCAGCAGGCCCCACAGAGCTGCCAGCTGTTCATGGTGTGGTTATGAGACACCACTGGACAACTGAGTGGCAGGGTGGGCGCTGGCTGCTGGGGGATGCAACCTTACCTTTCCCTCTGCAAGGATCCCTCTCCTCCAGGATGACCCTCTGTCCATCCAGACTTGATATGGGGGCACCAAGGTCCAGGGGCTCCTTCTCCCCACTCTAGAGGCAGAGATGATGCACTGAATCATTTACCCAGCTTGGAACTTTCTGGAATAGTTGCTTTTAATCCAGCCACTGATAGTAAGACTAACCCAGGTTTAATGGAGGGAGCCTCAATCCAGCTGGCCCCAGGGTCAGGTCACCCAGCCTGGCTGACCTGTGGGAATATGGAACCCTTAGAAGCTGGTGGAGCAGGTATTTCAAAAGTCATTTAAAGGGGCAGCAGAACAACCCAAAGACAAACTAGGAACTCCTCCACCCCAGAGAAAAGGTTGGTATCCATTTGTCAACACTCGGTCACTTCATCTGGCTTCTCTTTCAACACTGCTCATAGTCTCCATGGCAGCCAACCTAAAACCACCATGTTGATCCCCAGACTGCTCTGAGGGAGACCCTAAAGGTAGGGTGCAGGAAGCCATCTTAGCAGCTCTAGGAGGTGAGTGGCCGGGTGCTCTGACTGCTCAGGATGCTCTTTCCCTCTGTTGGTCACTGTGTTGCTCTGCCTGTGTGACTACCACAGCTTTAGGAAGGAGGAGAGGAGAGACATGCATCCTGGCTGCCAGGCTGGGTTTGACTCTGCAGGCAGATTTCTGAGCTCTAAACTGAAGCCCACAGCAGGGAAGTGGTATCAAGTTCACCCAAAGCTAGAACCTGTGAATAATTAAGTAGATTCCTCTTGTTTACTTCAAAGCTCTTAAACAATTCCAAGGACAATTTCAGGGAAAATTCAAAATTTAAGAATACTTGAAATCACAGCCCAGTATAGTGATGTATGTCTGTAATCCCAGTACTTGAAAGACAAAGGCAGAGGATAAGGAGTTCGAGGGTAGCTTGGGCTACATGAAAGTCTGTCTCAAAAATACCAAAACAAGCCAGGCGGTGGTGGTGCACTCTGGAGGCAGAGGCAGACAAATCTGAGTTCAAGGCCAGCCTGGTCTACAGAGCAAGTTCCAGGACAGCCAGGACCACACAAAGAAACCCTGTCTCAAAAAAACAAAAACAAAACAAAAAAATCACGACAGCTTAAAGTTGTCAGGAGGCATGGCAGATACCGTACCTCAAGCCACTACGAGTCAACACTGCCTCAGGGCCAGAGCCTCATCCCAGCTGCTGATCCATAAACACCCCTGCAGACAGGAAAGGAGCAGGGAGGCCTGCTGTCCTCCTCCTCAACCTCACCTCCATAACCAACCCCTTCTCACAATAGGGGAGGGAGCAGCCCAGGGTATAAGTGCATGTGAAACTGCCAGTCTGTCAGTGAGGGGGACAGGGACACCTGTGCCCTGGCAAACTGCCCACCAAGGGGGTACTGACTGTGCTCCTGTCACACGTGAAAACGGTGGAGATGCTTCAGGATGTTTCTTCCTTCAGTTTGGTTCACGTGAAGCAAATATCAACCTTTCCAATAATGAACAGTGTGCAAATAAATTAACAACAGAGAAAATGGGCGATAGAGGCAGGCATTGTCCTTAGCCTCGGGAGGACAGAAACATGAAATGAGAAAGGGTGCAGAGGTACTAAGGGGCAAGGTAGGGCACAACCCTGGTAGCGGTGCTCAGGCCCCAAATGACACTCACCAGCCTCACCAGCAGGCTACCCAGGTCCAGGCCATACTTGGCCACCACCGGCCGCAACACTTCCGTGACAGGCTTGGTGGGCTTGGCCTTGAGTCCCACTGACCGGTTAATTGGAACGAGATCCAGCCTGGAGGTAGGACAGGAAATATTCACAAAACAGCCAGTTCTGGCTTCACCACTCTCAAGGCTCTCCTCAACAGAAAAAGATTCTGCAGCTTGGGGACCCCATCGATGAAGCCCCACCTTGGAAGGAGCACTCCCCTGCATGTGGAAGGAAGTCCACGAGGCTCTTCTGTGATTTATGATTGGGCAGAGGGCTGTGGTCCTCAACCTTCAGGATGGAGCACTGAGCAGTCGGACCACTGCCTGGCACCCACTAGGAAGGGACTCCCGCCTCTTTCCCCACTGACTTTAGGGCCAAGTATGCCATGTGGAGTGCCTGCCCCATTGCCAAGAGTCTGGTGGAGCACTGACATTCTTTTATGGCCAGTCGTGGGACAAGTACATGCTTATTGAGTAAAAACAAACAAACAAAAACAAACAAACAGATTAGCAGGGAACAGAAGTTCTGAGGCTCAAACTATGGGTCTCCAGAAACCTGTCTGCTGTTCACTTACCGAAACAGAGTTCGCTTTTCCAAGCGCAGGTCCCTGGTGGCCAGGATACTGCTGTCCTGATGCAGCACCAGAGGCTGAGGAACAAAGACACCAGAGTTAGTAAGGGAGCACGTGGGCTTGACATGGAACAGCACACAGCTGCAAGAACAAAAGAGTAGTTTCAAAATTAGCCAGACACCCTCTAGACACCACGTTGTGCTGCCATGCACCCAAGAAGCCTCCACTTCCAGCGGCACTGCTTCGCAGGCAGGAGGTGGCAGTGGTGGTGTCAGGAGTGGAACACTAACAAGGCCAAGGGGAAGGGAGAAGGCAAGACCAGGACACCGGTGGCTCACTCCTGCCTGGCACAGTACCTTGTCTCCGCCCACCAGGAAGAGGTCCACTGCAGCCCCGTTGATGCCATGCCGCTCACACAGCCCAGACAGGATCTCTTTGATGGAAAAGCCGGACTTGACAGCAACCACACAGGATGTCCCGTCTGGGAGGTGGACACAGCAGTGTTTGGCAGCCTTATCTCTCTCAAGTGCTGAGGTCCTGCAGGCCTCTGACTGTAGGGTAGGGAGACAAGTGTCGGTGTCAGGAAGTAAGGCAGTACCTCCAGAGGAAGATTTAGATTGCCTGGTCTCAGGTGCCCAATAACCTGCCTGTCCCCCCATGTAGTTACATACACACACACAGAATCTACCAGAGGGGACCTCCTGACCCCAAAGCTGATGGTATGGTAGGGTTTGGAGGCCAGGGCCAGGGAGGGCACTGATCTCTCTCAACTGCGGTAACTTTATGGCTCACAACTGAAGCATGCCTGCTGTCCCGCCAGATGGGATTGTCCTTCATGCTATTCAGCTTGGGCCCACCTGACCTCTGGAACCTGAGGCTGTGATAATGAGCTGCCCACAGACCTGCAGGTGGTCCTAACCCTCCTGTTACAGCATTAGATGCTTGTCCTGAGGGCACAGACATGCTGTGAAACCTGCTTTCACAGCCATCTCAGACCCGCTTCTTCCCCAGCGTCTGAAAAATTTCTTTGCCTGTTACTTCAGAAAATTGGACTGGATACAGAAATGACCCAAGAACTTCTCCTAAGTCTCTGCGGCTCCTCCCATGGCTGTAGAAATGGCAGAGCCAGTTATTAGCCTCCTGGTCACCATGGGGAGGAACCTGGGATGGCCACTGGATGGCAACAAAAATATGGTCCTGCTAGCCCCACTGCTCTGGCCCACAGCCATATACCCATAGTTATCTGTGAGTTGTGAGGCCAGAGAACTGGAAGCACAGGGGAGACCCCAGGCACTGGCCCACCACCCTGCTGACACACAGGCAATGATCTTCATGTTTTCCAACAGTAAGCTGGGGTACTGGGCAGCAATAGGTAGCTCGTGGTTGCCTTGATAGGATGTTTAGAGCAATGAAAGATGAAATAACCACCTACACTAATGTTAATTGTTGATGGCTAGTCTCAAATGTCACAATGCTGACAACCAACAAGGTTTCCCAGAATTCTTATCAGACAGTGGTTGAGAACGTAGCAGGTCTTAAGCCCTACCCAGCTCCCCTCACAGCAGATTAGCAAAGAGCAGGGCAAGCAGCGTGCCCTGAAGAGACCTGCGGCACTAGGCCTAGCTTTTTTTTTCTCCATGTGTATATGCTATTTTATTTTTTTATTTATTACAATTTATTCACTTTATATCCCAGCTGTAGCCCCTCCTTCATCCCCTCTCAATCCTATACTCCCTCTCTCTTCTCTTCCTATGCCCTTCCCTCAGTCTATTGATAGGGGAGGTCCTCCCCCTTTCCATCTGACCCTAGCCTATTAGGTCTCATCAGGACTGGATGCATTGTCTTCCTCTGTGGCCTGGTAAGGCTGCCCCCCCCCCAACCAGGGGGAGGTGATCAAAGAGCCAGCCACTGAATTCCTGTCAGAGATATCCCCTGCCCCCCTTACTAGGGCACCCACTTAAGAGGCTGAGCTGCCATGGGCTACATCTGTGCAGGGGTTCTAAGTTATCTTCATGCATGGTCCTTGCTTGGAATATCAGTCTCAGAAAAAAAACCCTGGGCTCAGATTTTTTGGTTCTGTTCTCTCCTTGTGGAGCTCCTGTCCCCTCCAGGTCTTTCTATCTCCCCCTTCTTTCATAAGATTCCCTGCACTCTGCCCAAAGTTTAGCTATGAGTCTCAGCATTTGCTTCGATACCCGGATCAGTATTCTTTCAGAGGCCCTCTGTGGTATTCTGTCCTATTCTGTTTTCTCCCTCTTCCAATGTCTACCCCGTTTGCCTTTCTGAATGAGGATTGAACAGGTGGTAGGAGGCCAGCAACTAGGATCCCACAGGCAGACACAAACACTGGAATGCTGGAGTCAACAGGAGGTTTGAGCATCAAACTAAAGACAAACCCCTGCTTCAAAGCATACTGTGTGCTCTTAGTGGGAGTTCAAAAAAAAAAAAACTAAATCAGAACAAAGGAATTTAAGAAATAAACTCAAGGCTAATTTTAGTCCTTACACAGCACCCTTCTCCACCTACTAAACAGTTTCTCACACTGCCCCAGAAATCCTGGACTGGGAATCCTGAGGTCTAGGGGATCCAGGGCCAGTGTCCAATCCTGGGACCTTGTTTTTGAAACAAATGCTGAGCTTCTATGAGCCAGGCTTCACCTACCAGCTGGTAGGCGTAGCCTGTGACCCTTGGAATGAAGGGAGGTAGCCACTCACCAGGTCTAGGCTCCCTGCAGAAGACACAGAGCCCTGGGACTCCCGACGGCAGAGGCCTCCGTTGGCATGAAGGGCATCTTGAAAGAAGGGAAAGACTAGGATGAATGAGAAGCCACAGCTTCATGTGTCCTCACCCAGTACAGAACTCCTACCTCATCCCTCAGACTTGAAAGACATAATATAACAAAGCCAGAGAGACAGCAAATATCACAAGCCCTTCCAGTCGCCACCTTGCTCCACTGAGGTTTAGTCAAACAGCTCCCTAACAGCAGAGGCCAAGGTTAGGGCCTCCTTGGGGCCCTGTAAGACTTGAGACATTGCCAGGCACCAGAGAGCAGGAAGCAGTGCTATACAGGCCAGACTCATGTCCCTTGGCGGGTTCTCTTCATTTGAGCTATGATTTCTATCTCAAAGTGTTTTGGATCTGAAGAAGATTGTCCCTGTGACCAGCTGGCTGCTCATTTTACTGGTGACTCACTTCCCATCTTCTTCCTCACAAATCCTGTTCAGAGCCAATAGTCAAACTCACTAACTTGTTCTAACCATAATCTAGGCTGGTCTACATACCATGAAAGAGCTTAAACACTGTCCTCTGCCAAACAGACTGACACTCAGGCTCCTGGATCCAGTGACCTACCCTGAACAAGTAGCTTTTCATTCATCTACAGACCCTGTACCAGATGGACTGAGCGTGTGCGCTCTAATGAAGTGCCCTGCAGATGACTCTGCAGGCCTGCCAGGTACGAGAGGCCTGCAGGGTATACGCTCCCCATCTTCCAGTACCCACCCGCCAACCCAATGGCTGGTGCACAGTCACTGGCACGGGCGACAAGCTGTGCCTGGTGACAAGGAATAGTATTTGTTTCTCTTTGTTTGATTCTGTTTTCCAAGTTTTCTACTGAAGCACCTGTTACTTTCATAGCAGGAAGGAAAAGAGCCCAGTCAGCCAGACTCCCTGCATTGAGGAGTTTCCAGAAGGGTTTGGAGCAGGCTTGCTTCGTAGGCTGGCTCAGCCCCAACTCTACTGCATTCCCAGGATCTGTGACATTTCCTCATCCCTCCAGACAATGCTCCCGCCACGGCCTCTCATGTCACCGTGGCCATCAAGCTCCTGCCCACAACAATGGGGTCTGCATCCACATACCATGGGCGTGGTCGCCATGGTCCTTCTTCTTCTGGGACCGCCCCGTGCTTCTGCTCCTTGACCATGAGAAAAAGGCACCTTTGCGTTTTTTCTCGCTATCCTCGTCCCCCACATCTTCATTCAAAGACCGTCCTGATTTGGATTTTCCACTTAACTGTCAGCAAACAGAAATTATCAGTTAAGACACCAAGGTTACTTTAACATTGCATGAAACACCAAAGGGGCCAATACAGAGCTCTATGAGTAAGGATTTTGAGGAAGAATCTAGATACTTCAGTGAATCAAGGGCACAGTCCTGACCCTCTCGTTCACCAGTGAGATAGCCAGGAGCCAGAGGGTCAGGAAAGAGTTCAGGGATATCTGTGTCCTGCATGCCCCTCTCCCAGCTGGTGAAGGGATGAGCCAACACAGCCTCACTCTCACCCCCACAAGGGCTGGCCCAGCACCTTTTTTGGTGTGGACACATTGGAGTGGTCGGAGTTGATGCTGTGCTTGGAAGCTGGGCTGCTGGGGACCTGCTGGGAGTCAGGGAGGGTGCGTCCCTCCACCTCCGCCAGGACGCATTCTTGGTACAGCTGGGATTTCAGAAATCGAGTATAGCTATCAAACTTCATCAGGTTGAAAATCTGTGGAGCAAATGCAGTATGGTTACAGAAGGAATAATAACTCCTTGAGTCCCTAGGTGGTGCAGGAGATCTGTAGCCGTAAATGTCATTTTTGCCAATTCTTTCCTATGCCCCAGGGAATTCTGAGGTTAACTCTCCAGGGATCCTTCAGATCTCTCTCTTAACAGCTTCTCCTTTACCACTCTCAGTAGGAGCAGAGTCCTAGGAGTTCTGCACAGCCAGAGCAGGCAGACTCAGGATTGTGGCTGCAACCTGAGCAGTTCTTCATTTCCTAAGGACTTGGAAGGTAGCTCTCTCAAGGGTAAGTGCTGCCTGGGGAAGATCCTTTTCCTTTTTTTTTTTTTTTTTGTTTAAAGTTAATTGCTGCAGTCTAATGGCACAGCAGCTGACTGTGTGGGGAGTGTGCTCTGGACAGGCATCACTGGGTTAAATCACATGCACTTCCAATATTAAGACACAAACATGTAAACAGGGTGTCATATATTTCCTGTGATCCAGCACTCAGAGGCTGCGGCCAGAGTATATGAGCTTCAGGTCAGCTGTGGTGGGCTACGCAGAGAGACCCTATCTCCAACAACAATGGCTACTACTGCTAAACCCATACCACCAGCACACAGACAGGCTCAGAGAAATTTGAATGTATGCTAGTTTGGCAGCACAGGTACTCACTGAAATAGTACTTAAAAGTTTTGAATGTAGATCTTTCTCTGGGTGATACAATGCAGTATCATCCTCTCTCAGATGCTGGGAGTGACACTGAACTGTGGCTCCAGGTCAGCCCTGCAATCCTGAAGAAACCACTGACCTTCCATAATGTGCCTTGTGTGTGTGTGTGTGTGTGTGTGTGTGTGTGTGTGTGTGTGTGTGTG